ACTAAATTAATTATAATATATTTAATTAATCTTATTTAATTATAATAATTTAATCAAACAAATTTTTTTTTACATTTAAAAATTAAATTAAATTTTTTACATAATACAAAAAAAAAATTTACATACAAATTACTAATAGTGTTTTACATTCAAATTACTAATTACTAATAATACATAATAATGAATTTATCTTATATTATAATAATAATACATAATAATAATAATAATAATAATTAAAATGAATAATAATATTACAAATTACTAATTACTAATTCCTAATAATAGTACATAATAATAATAATAATAATAATAATTAAATTTAATAGTATTTTACCTACAAATCACATCACATACATAATACAATATATTCACATACAAATTACTAATACATACAAATATTTAATTAATATTAGTTTTTTACATACAAATTACTAACATATTTAAAATAATAAATTTATCTTTATTAATTTTAATAGCATAATAAAATAATATCTACTTAATTTTTACATACAAATTTTTAATCCATTTAAAAAAAATACAAACTACTTACATATTTACAATACATAAATTTACAAAATTTATAATCTTCCTATCATAATTAAAATTTATTTACGTATACAAAATATTTTATACAATTAAACCAAATATTTCTTATTATTATTATTAAATTATTTTATTTAACTAATTTTATATTATTCTCTAAATAAATATATAACAAATATATTATACAACATCATATTAATAATATTATACAACATATAATTAACAAATATCATTATATTATTCTTTGTCTACAAATTTTTTTAATAATATAACATAATCAGTCAAATTTTATTTTTTAATCTATTAATCTAAACATAAATTAATGAAATAAAATTTAAAATTAACTAAAACAATTTTACTAACCTCTAATTCTTCTAATTCTCTCTAAACTGTGTTTACCTGCAAAACAAAAAATATTTTTTTCAGCATTTTAAAATAATAAACAAAATATAAATTTACATATAAATATAAATGATATCATTATCTTAAATAAAAATATAAAAATTGTAAAATCTTATCAAAAAATTTTCACGCAAGCTTTCAGAAATGGAAGAGTGGAGGCGTCGGACTGAAGATGAAGGAATGGAAGAAGCAGAAATGGAGGAGCGAAAGGGGAAGAAGGGACAGGGACGGTTATTGTGTCGCCTGCCACGTGTCAGCCTCCCATTGGTTTTGCCAATAAAACTGGCGAAACATTCTTTCGTCACTGACAGCGCGCAACAAGTAGGATGTCGCCATCTGTCTTCACCATTCTCCAGCTGTTCATTTTGAATTTTTTAAAATTTTATTTTATTTAATTTTGTAGCTTTCGCGTTTTTGGTGGCAAAACAAATCAAACATATCTACGTGTCATTTCCCCATTAGTTTCGCAGCGGTGGTGGTGAAACTGGTCATTAATTTTGCCAATTATATGGTGAAACTGTTGATTCGCTGACACGTGCTTCAATCTAATGTATTTCGCGTTATCAATGGCAAAAATTATTATTAAAAAAATTCAAAAATTAAATTTTCGCTATTTTATGTGGCGAAATTACTAGTTGACATAACAAATTCATTCCAGACGGGAATTAATTTGAGAAAAACGATAATTTAAGAAATAATTTTTTAATTTACAATATTTAAATAAAAAAGCCGTTAATAGATAACTCAAAGTATAATTGTTATATTAAATATTTTTAAAAAAATAAAAAAATTAATTAGTATCAACTAGTTTTATTAGCCTTTATAATTTATTTAGCTAAGGTGTCTTATAAAAAGGCTGAGTGAAAATATTTTAAGTATATTTATAATTTCCATAATTTAATGAATTTTTTAGTTCATCTCTTTTTTTCTTCCAATAACAATATTTTTTGTCCTTAGGCCTCGTGATTGCTAAATGCATGATACCGTGACTAACAAAAACATTGTTATGTGTTCATTATTTACGTGGCTATCTCAGTGAAAGTGATACCTAAGTTACACAAATATAAGGGACCAAATAAATAAAACTATAACAGTTGAAATTTGTTCTGATTAGTAATTTAATTATTAAATTACGACTATTTCTAAGTGGATAAAACACAAGGACTATTCGGAACAAAATAAAAGTTGAAAGTATCTATTTGTAAAAAGAATGCTTAAAAATCAATTGACACAAAACAAATTGTCCAAGGTAGATATTTACAAAGCAAGTAAGGGTTTTTTTTTTTTTCAAATACATTTTAAATTCCTTCTATAAAACCTATTTAATTTTAGTTATTGAAAAATTTTAAAAAATAATGTAAACTAGCTTTTTATGTGCGCCATTGATATGTTTTTAGAGAGAATATATAAAGCCTTATGGACAATAATCCATTTTAAAAGAAATTTATGTAAAGATAAAAAAAAAAGTTATTATTACATAAGAACTATAATGAAAAATATGTTATACATAAAGATCAAAATAATATATATATATATATATATATATATTATTAAATAACATTTGTTATATGAGATAGCAATAAACATCAATTCAATTTTCTTTTATTTAAATCATATGTATCAAAATTTAACACATATACAAAATTCAAAATTAAAATAACTAGTTAAAATAGGAAAATCTTGTGCCAGTTCATTAACATTTTTAATGATAAAACTCAAGAAGTTTGATTACTTTTTAGTTCTAACCTCCCTTCTATGGATGTGAAAGACTTTTCTATGTTAGTGAATCATACTGTTTCAGTTTCACATGCATGCACAAAAAAGTATATCTAATCAATAATATCATTAATTATAATAATAATAATAATAATAATAATAATAATAATAGTTTAATATTATAATTATTATTTTTATCTTTTCTTATGTGGATTTTAAAATACAAAGATATACTCTTCAGGTTTATAATTGGATGTTTAGCGTGTGAAATTTGAAAATTAAACATTTATTACTGATTCAACGCTAAAATTAGATACACTATAATATCATATTAAAACAAATTAACTCATTTCAAAAATTAATTTTAAAAAATTATTCAAACCTTATAAAAAACATTCTAATTCTATTTTAAATTAAGTTAAAATGTCTTCTAAAACTTACTTCATAAGTTATACGACATTATGATTCGAAAAAATCGTTAGATATTTATAAACGTGAAACAAACGTTTTTCTTTTTCCTTTTCTTTTTTCTTTTTTCTTTTTTGCTTTTTCTGTCTTGACATATGTAATTTGACGTTTCGGTTTTCTTTTAAAAATAATATAACCTTTTTAATGCATATTTAAAGACACGTTATCAAAAGTAATAAATAATAAATTTTTGTTAAAAATTATAAAATTAATATTATTTTTATTGTATTAAATTACATGATATTTTATATTTTTAATAAAAAGTTATTATAAATAAAGTGTCATAGTCTTTATTTAAATACACAGGTAAAAAATAAACTGTCATATTTTAATAATGATGAGTTATTTATATAAAAATATATATTTATTATTGTTATTCGAAGAAGATAGAAAACCATGCCACTGCTACGGGAAATCCAGTGCATTCCCACTTCAATGGTTCCCCGTCGTTCAAAGCTTGCTCGTGCTACCGCTTCCCGCTGCAAGTCTCGATGACGCTGGTACCTTCATATCTGATTCATTTTCTTTTTCGTTTTCGTTGTGAACACACACGTCTGAAAATCGATATCATACTCATTCTCCATTTCGAGTTCGTGCTCTCGTTAACCTCTGCAACTCTAGGCGCTTGCTCGTGCTTCCTATTCGTCTTGCTGCTCTCTTTCACTGCTTTGTCGTAACTCTTTTTTTTGTTGATATTGGTGCTATCTGTCTAGCTATGTTTATGTTTGCTCGTGCCTCGTGCTCTATCGAAATCAAGTCAACTGAATTAATTTCTTGTGCTCCCTGTGTTTTAATAGAGTTGGAAATTGTGATTTTCACGAGTATATGATCTTGCTTCATATATGGTTATTAAGTAATTGCTTGTTCTTCTCTGTTTTTGGAGTAGTAATTGTTCGTGCTCCCTGTCCCTTGCCCCTGGCTATGATAAAATGTCCTGAGAAAGTGTCCATTGACTTAATTGAAGTGTTAGTACAAGTAGTCGTAGTAGTTTTGTTCCTTCTCCTTCTTAATTGAACTGTTGCCTCTTCTGGGTCATGTGAAATGACAATCAATTTCAATACCTATTTATATTTGCTTTTATTTTCTTTATTTGTTTGAATGTCTATACTGAATTGCTTAAAGATGCAGATATGAAATTATTGATAAATCCTAAATTATCCTTTTCTGCGTTTTAGTCTTACTCCTGTGGGTGTTTGGGTGGATGAATGAATGTATTGTGAACATGGTCTTAACTTTGAAGCATTGATCATATAATTTCTTCCTTTTCTGTTCTATTGCCTTGAGACATGACTGTTTGCATGGCTGATTAACAAAATCATAATACTTAATCTCCTTTTTATATTGGAGATCCATCATTTTTTTGAGGATTCATAAAAATAGAAGGAAGAAAGAAAGATTACAAGAGTTATCTCCATATACACATACACATTATTTCAACATAAAAAGATATTGTAATTATTGTAAGAGCTGTGTTGTTTTCAGTTTGTTTTAGGATCTTAACCTTTGTCCATAATTATGAAAACATACATAAATTCAGTTAAAAAGTTTACATTAAAATTAAGGAATGAAAGTAATTAATGTATTATTTATGAACTTAATTTTAGAAAACTTATTTTGCATTTGAATTAATTTTTTAACAAAATTATATTAAACATCACAATGTTTTCAAAATATATATTTTTTCCTTTATTCTAAAATCTAAAATTTATCACCATACTTGTACACTGACATTTTTTTAATCTCTTTCCCTTTTTAATCTACATTTAAATATGCTTAAAAATGTTTGTTTTTGAAAAAAAAAAAAAAAAACTAATCCAAATTTAGTTTGTGTCCTAGACTGGGTTACCTGTGGTTACAACTTACAATAGCAGATGACTTCGGGGAATGGGCTTTTGAATTTGAAGTGGGTCATGTTTACATTTCCATATGGTGTGCCCAAGCAGATGATTTTCTCATTCTTCACCACTATTCAAGCTTCTCACTATCATACACTTACTTGGGTAAGAGCTTCTGATAAAGGGTTACTCGTAACTCTTGATTCCTGGTTTGTCAAGATTGTTTATACTTTCTTTCTTTGCTGGAACCCTTTGGATGATAGATTTTTGTGCTATTTCCATAAGCACTTGACTCCATCACTTGTGTTGGAGGTTGTTAAAAGGCTTAACAATCCAAGCTTGGGTTTCAAGTTCTTTCAGTTCACTAGGGAAAGGTTGAATGTGCCTCATTCATTCTGGACTTATAATATGCTTTTGAGGTCCCTTTGTGAAGCAGGTCTCTACAATTCAGCAAAACTGTTATATGATTGTATGAGGTGTGATGGGAAATTACCTGATAGTAGGCTTTTGGGATTTTTGGTTTGTTCTTTTGCACTGGCCATAGGCTTGATGTTTCACAGGAATTACTGGTTGAAGCTCACTGGAATAAGGTTCAAGTAAATCCAATTGTTTATAATAATTTTTTTAACATCTTGATAAAACTTAATAAATTAGATGATGTCATTTATCTATTTAGGGAGCTTATGAGATCAGATGCTCGCATAGAAACCTTCACTTTCAACATTTTAATCCGAGGTTTGTGCAGAGCTAGAGCAATTAATGACGCTTTTGAGTTGTCACTGATATGAGAAGTTTTGGCTGTTCCCCTGACATAGTTATGTATAATACTCTATTACATGGTTTATGTAGAATTGACAAGGTTGATAGAGCATGTGATTTGCTGAAAGAGGTTTGTTTAATAAGTGAGATTGCCCCAAATGTTGTAAGCTATACAACAGTAATCTCAGGTTATTGCAGATTGGGTAAGTTGAAAGAGGCTTCCTCTCTTTTGGATGAAATGGTTAGATCTGGAACCAGGCCTAATGCATTTACCTTTAGTGCCCTTGTTGATGGCTTTGTTAAGGCAGGTGACATGGCTTCTGCACTGGGCATGCACAAGAAGATGCTCTTGTATGGCTCTTCTCTTAATGCTGTTACTTTAACTTCCCTAATTGATGGCTATTGTCGAGTTGGATTGGTGAACCATGGCTTAGATCTATGGCATGAAATGAATGCTAGAAATATCTGTGCAAGCTTGTATACTTTCTTTGTTCTTATCAGTGCTTTGTGCAAGAGTAATAGACTGCAAGAAGCTCGTGACCTCTTGAGACTATTGAAGCGGAGTGACATTCTTCCACAATCTTTTGTCTACAATCCGAGATGGATATTGAAAATCTGGGAACATTGATGAGGCTAATGCAATTGCTGTAGAAATGGAAGAGAAGTGCAAACCTGATAAGTTGACATTTACCATTCTTATTATTGGGCATTGTATGAAAGGAAGAATGGTCGAAGCAATTGGTATCTTTTACAAGATGTTGGGAGCTGGTTGTTCCCCAGATGAAATCACTATTAGAACTTTAAGTTCCTGTCTTTTGAAGGCTGGGATGCCTAGTGAGGCTGCGTGCATTAAGGAAACTCTATCTGAAAATTAGGGCACTTAACTGAGAAAATCTTATCATGAAAGTACAAATGTAGATATGTCAATTTCTGTTTATTAAAGTGCTACTACTAATCAGTGTTCTGACTTAGACACTGCCTTCCACTGTTTTCATTTGAGGAAACATTCATCAGGGTGTTTCACTATTGTCTAGAGATTATCTACAAGGGAATTTGAATTGCCAATCCCTCCAAGATTCTGCTTGTTTTTTTTTGTTGGGAGCTTCCAGGGAGGTATGATCTCCTCTTGTTACTTTTCTCTGAGCTGTTTTTTCAACTAAATTTAAACTTTTGGTCCTGTTTTCCTGAATTTCTTTACAATGCAGATTTAGTTGATTTTCTTGCTTATTTAGAAATGTATTACTCAAGAGTATATAAACTATTCTGGAAGAAATGGAAGTGGCTGAAATATGGGTAGTTGGCTTGTTGAAATTTCACACAGTAAAAAAAAATGCTGCAAAAATATAGGAAGATTATTACTAAGGATTTACAGAAGCAGACACCGTTGGGAAAGGGCAGGAAGGAAACTCCTGATCCTAAATGAAGAAATATTTAGTTTATTTGGGTGGAGTTTTTTCTCTTGTTATATACCTCACAAGTCATAATTATTTCCAAAAGTATTCACCTTAATCCTCTTTTGTTTTCTAAAAGACAAATAACAAATTATATTGGCATCTAGAAATAAAATTTTCTTGAACTTATATCCAGGAATACTATCTGAAATTATCCTCCTTTTTGTAGGGCTTAGGGTATATGGGAGAGGTCTGTTTTTCCCCTTGGTTATCATGTTCAGTGTGTGCAAACAAAGCTTCTTTACATTACAATTTACAAGAATGTCTGCTATGTTATGCTTCTTTATAGTTAAAGAAGTCGAGATATAACCTCAACTCTTGACCGTTGTCATTCAAAATTGGGCACAGAATAAGACAATCCCTATTCCAGGATCAGGTCAATTGGCTTAAGAGTTGATACAGTTCTGCTAATGTGTTGTCTTTGGTAGATATTTAGAGAGATTGGCATGCTGTGTTATATGTTCTTTCTCTCTCTTTCTCTCTTTGTGTTTCTTTGTTTACTTCCCCTCTTCACCTCTCTCCAATCTTTTATTCTCTCTCTCTCCTTCTCTTTCCTTACCTTGCACTCTTACTTTGTTTAATTCTCTCTCTCTCTCGCTATATTTCTTTGTCTATCTCTCTCCATTCTCTTCCTCTGCTTGATTCTTTATTTCTTTTTCTCTCTCTCACTCTCTTCTCCTTCTCTTCCTTCTCTCTTTCTCCTTGTTTTTCTTTCTTTATTTCTTTCTCTCTTTCCTTCCCTCTTGCCCTCATTTATTCTCTCTCCCTCTCTTTTTCTCTTCTGTTTTGTTACCTTTCTCTCCCTCTCTCATTCATTTTCTCTTTATTTGTTTCTCTGTTTCTTTCTTTTCATCTCCCCCCTCCCTTCTCTCTTTCTTTCTCTCATGTTTCTTTCGTAGTATTGTCTCCTATTGCATTTGTATCTCCTTTTTTAATAATTTCTTAATGATGCCCATCAAATGATTTCCTATTATATTTTAATAATTTCTTAAACATGCTCCAATTATCATAATGATGCCCATCAAAGCAAGGAATAGAAGGCTGATAATAATGATGCCTATACTGGAAAAGATGGTGTCTGCAAATTTGCTGTTGAAAACGTTGCTGTTCAAGTCATTGACTCTGTCAACATTACCTTGGTAATAAACAGATAGATAGTTTTGTGCTTATGTGGATAATTGTAACATTGCTGTTGACTCTGGAGTTTGGCAGAATCAGATCATTCATAACTCAATTACATCGATATGAGATTTCTAAAATTTTTTATTTTGTTTCGGGTGTAGGGTTCTGAGGATGAATTGAAACATGCAGTTGCTTTTATTCGGCCAGTTAGTGTGGCATTTAAGGTGGTGAGTGGCTCCGATTCTACAAGAAAGGAGTGTACACTAGTAACACTTGTGGCAGCAAGCCCATGGTGAGTATTCTGCAAGAGAATTTCTGATCCTTCTCATTCCAGTGTTCAATGCTATTTTCGGTATCTCGACCACAGTTGCTGTTTTCAATGCATGTTAATAACTTTTAGCATCATGGACGTTAACAAAATTTGAATTTGCGTGTCTGGATGTGAATCATGCTGTTCTTGCTGTTGGGTATGGAGTTGAAGATGGTGTTCCATACTGGCTGATAAAAAATTCACGGGAAAATAACGGGTGATAATGGCTACTTCAAGATGGAATTGGGGAAGAATATGTGCGATAAGCATCCGCGGGACCTTAATTCTTGGGAACTAATAGGTTAGTTTATATGCATTTCAAAAGTTTTGACATGGTACTTAACCGTGATAAGTCATCTTTTATTATAGTTTCTTAAAGGAGTTTGAAATTAAAGACTAAAATAAATAATGGAGAAAGAAGTTAGAGACTAACTGATATTTTAAATTTTTAAAAAATTAAAATGTTAGACTTAAATTGACTAATTTTAATAAAAAAAATTATTTTTAAATGAGTCAATGGGCAAGTCTATAGCCTACCTCTAAATGAGACAGAGACTCATTTTTGTTCAAATTCAAAAACAGACTATCTGACCTGATTCATTTAGCTGTGCTATTCCATATTAACAAATAGCAACTACAATATTACATGATAAAAAAAATTTTTGACAAAAAAACAATTTAAAAGAAAAATAATTTTAAAAATTACTTTTTAACTTACATTTTTGACAAATTTATTTAAATAATGTCATTTTAAAAACAAAATCTCAAAATAGGTATTTTTTAAAACAAATTTCCTGATTGGTGTGAATTTTGGCTAAGTCACTACTAATATTGCACTTGCATGTCTGATAGGCCATTTTTTAAAAAATTTTAATACACTGTCGGTTGCCTACAACTGATACTCCTTCAGATATGGACACGTGGTAACAAATAATTTTGATGAATAAATAAAAAATAAAATAAATAAATAATTTTATTAGTATAATCCCAATAGCGATGATAGCCATTTAAAATCAACAGCTAAGAAAAATCGGGACGTGTGTTCAAATTCAATTGTGTATCGACTCTGCTGCCTTGACTGCTTTATCAGAGGGTTAGTGGCGATATTTTTTCAGGTTTTGACACGTGGCATCGTCAATATGGGTGTTGTGGACGCCTTCTTATTCCCCTCCCCTATACTTAGTCTTCCATTAATGTCAACTAGAAGCAACATTTTTTGTATTGTTGGTGTGAAAATTCTGGGAACAATTTTTTTATTTTGCAGTGTTATTCTTAATGAAATCTAAAGGTAAAAATAAAATTATAAAATAAATATGTTTATTTTATTTGTCAAAAAAGAAAATTAATAGTTTGTTATGTTTTAAAAATTTACAGGTCTTAGTACCAGAGCGTATAGAAGTCGAAGTCCACTTTCAATCGATAACAGAGGTCAGTGAAGAGTATGAATTTCATATATAATTTTTTTTATAATTTATTCAAGTGTTTATATATATTTTCCGTTATTTAATGTAAAATTAATTGAAAATATAATATTTGAATTATTTTTTTTTGTTAAAAAATAGATTTAGAAGTTGATTAATGGTTGTTATATTTAATCCTGAAGTTTAGCATTAAATTCAAATTTTTTTAATATGTTTAGGCTTAAGTGCAGTAGTGAAAAAATTGAAACTTTTATGTTAAATATTTGGTAAAGTCAGTAAAAAACAGATTAATTTTTTTTTTTTTGGTAATTGTGAATAAAATAAATTTTTGGTTGAGTGTTTTTATAAAATAGTAAATTAAAATTAAAGTAGTTTATAAATGCAGTATAATAATATATTAAGTTGGCTGAGATAAAAAAAAATGGATAATTAGTTAAATTAAAAAAAAATAAAATTGCATAATAAAACATGAAAAATTAATAAAAATTTGTAAAAACATTTATTATTGCCAGATTAATTAGAAGGGTAAATAAAAGGTATAAAAAATATTTTATAAAAAATGTTGAAAATGTAGAATAATTTTGAGTAGACTAAAACAAAATTTTGGGTAAACAAATTTAAAAAATAGTAACCAGTAATTTAAAATTTGTTACCAATAAATTAGAAATAATAGAATTTTAAATGGTTAAAATTATAAATAAATTCATTCTTAATGACAATATAAAGAGAAAATTTAAAATATAATTGAAATAAAATATATGTATATCTAAAATAATAAAAATGTAATATTATTAAAAATAATAATTACTTAAATAATTTATTATAGGATAGAAAAAAAAACCTAACTTATTTGAATTATATTTTTATTACTTTAAACAAAATTTGAATTTTTAGGTTATTATACACTAAAATAGAATTTATACTGGTAAAATTTGTTAAAAGAAAATGTAATTACGTGATTTTATAATTATATGTACTTTTTTAAAACTTTTAAACTTGGCATCTATTATAATAGTAATATTGAACAAAATTATTTACACAACTTATTAAATATTTAAAATTATTATTATCTTTACAATTTATTAACACAAAACTTACTATGCTTAATTAAACAAAAATGTTAATTTGGAGTAACTACTTTTGTAATGTTAATAAATTTATAGTTTGTACAAATATAAAATTAATTTTACCAATTGATTGTCATGTTTAATATGTTAATAATACTAACATTTTATTTCAAATTATTAAATGACATTATTTTATTCACAAGGTCTAGTGATTAATTCAGGGTCAGAAGATCCATTATTGTTACGTTTTCAAAGTATATATGTGTCTGAATACATTTGAAATGGTTGAGAGCATCCCATGATGAAGGTTACAAAGTGACAGTTTATACTAGCTGGTCTAGATGGTGTTCCAGCAGAGATTTTATCACATTTGGAGTTGACTGGCTTTACTAGAGTGGCACAACTTGCAAACTTTCCATTGGATAGGCATTTGAACACCGCATTGGTTGAAAGATAGAGGCCCTAGACATACACCTTTCATATGCCATCAAGAGAATACACCATAATGCTTCATGATATAGCTATACAGATAGGTCTTCGGGGCTTCCAGTATTTGTAGCTATTGGAGGTAATTGGCTATATATAGTTAAGGATAGTCTAGGTGTTAGGCCACTACCAGATGCTTTTGTGGGGGAGTTAGACCAACATTTCACTAACGTGGCTATGTATAATTAGAACCAACTTCAATTAATGAAATTTGTTAGAGTGTATATTATGAGACTGATTTCAGGGTTTATGTTAGCAGATCATTTTAGCAGTAGAGTCACAGTTTGATATTTGCCTTTACTTGAGGACTTCACCATCACAGGACAATATAGCTGGGAAATAGCAGCTCTTAGTTTCTTATATAGAGAATTATGTATAGCGACAAACATTGACAGAGTTGTCATCGGGAGTTTGACTCCATTGTTGGTTATGTGGGATGGGATATATTTCTGTGTTTGGCTCCTCCCTCACCTCCACATTTGTGGCATGATCTTTCGTATGGTGGTAGGTATGCAACTTTACGACTTTTGTACTTTTATAAATTATTATATATAGTTTAATATTTTTATGTTAATTTAGTTTACTTTGTTATTGTATAGGCGGTTAGTAAATTGAGTGCACAAAAAGCCGAAAAAGGATGTCGTATACTATAGATATAAACTTGATCATCTTAAACAGGACGAAATATTATTAATTTCGAACACTTTAATAAATATTATAAATATTCAAATGTTTATTTTTTTAATGAATCTTATTTATCATTTTGCAGATTGTTTGGCAGCCTTATAGTCAGGATATTCTTGAGTCATTGCCTTGCATATGCTTGCAAGGGATGAACATTTGGAGGTCAGTGGTGTCTTTGATTTCCATTCAGATTTGTGAGTGGCATTAACCGAACCATGTAAGATTTTATTTTGGTCTAAAGATGGATTAAATTGATGAAACGGTTCAAATCAAAATATTACATAACATAGTCAAATTATCACAAACACTTAATTCTAAACACAATAAAATATTCGTACATCACCACTTTGATTGTTATAAAACACTGAACAATGGCGACGATTATGACCAATTTGTTTACACAAAGAACATCAATGATGTGGTTGAGAGTCCACCTTGTCCATTTCATTTATAATATTGCGAACTTTGATCGATCTTTTCCCATGAACTACCTGTTGAGAATTCTTATTCATTTTCGTTGTCATCACCTTTTTCATCCCCATATTCACTTTCTACATACTCATAAAATTTGTTATTAGGTAAAGATAGTTATAACAAATTTAATATCATTTTTCATTAAACCAAAAGCATTACTACACCTAATCCAATTCGAGGTTCATTATCATCACTTGTAATGTCATGTAAAAATGAAACATTTAAATCCACACCTTCTGATTGAATACAAGAATTTTCAATTGACGCAATATCTACATATACTTTAATTACACTCTACTAATTTTATTGTAAAAAAGCACTTAACATATAATTAATATTTTCATTATCATATATATTTATTATCGTATATTATCTACCAATTGGGTCTACTAAAAATCATAAAATAAATCTAAATATAACCTTATTAGTAAACAATTTCAATTTTTTTTTATCAATATTCTCTTTCAATGTCTCAAAATAAATCTACGTTCAATTTTAATTATTTTATTATTTTCTTCCAGAATATTCAACCATTCTAATATATTATTATCACAAAATCAATAATCCTGCATTAACAAATTAAATTCACATACAACATATTAATCAGTTAAAATTAACAATTTATTCTAAATCATTTAAATTTTACATTGAAGATATAATGACACAAATTTGCCTATTTAGGTAACCAAACCTTTTTTTTATTAAAACTAAATTAATAGTTTGTGTTCTCTATTTTATATAAAACTTAATTATTTTTTAACTATATTTATTTTTTATTTTTACAACTTTAACAGTTTATTTACATAAATACAGTTTTTTAAGAGAGGTAAATTATTTTTATTTACAATAAAACATGAGAAATCATGCAGGTGCAACACATGGTAATCTGGCCAAAATTTACATCGGAAAATTTATTTTAAAAAATAAGAGAATTTTTTTAAATGACATTATTTAAATAAATTTGTCTGAATTTTTTCGGCAAAAAAGCCAAGATATTCAAGAAGTACATAAATAGCAGCATTTTTTAAACGTTGCTCATTTCTAAGCGTTCTATCACCACGCACGTTACGTGTAAGTGTTCACCAATATACTCTGTCAATCAAATGCATCGTACTGCTGTTATTAAATTCTCAAAAAAAATTTCATTCTGTAAATGTAAAATATTTTGTTGAATAAAATAATGTACACGTGTATCGTGCATATTGTCTATGTTGTGAGAACGCACTCAACATTCGTTATCCTACTCCACGAGCTCCTCGCTATACTAACCTCTTAACATATATTTCCTCGTGTTTTCCATGTATTCTACAACTTCGACTTAACTATATAAGTATAGTACAATAAAAAATCAGCATATACTAAATAGTAAGATTTTATTTAAAGTTTTAGCATCGTGTGATTTTTAATGCATTGGATATTTGATTTTTATGAGATACTGATTGACTATTTTGATTACATATGTTATTAAATTCAATCAAAAAAATTAAATGTTTTAAAATATTATTTTTTATTTTATGTTTTTAAATAATTTTATCTAAAAAAATTTCAAACCTCCTTCATTTTCACTTAACTAAAAATATCACCATTCATTCTCTTCATTGATGTCTTTTTTCTGTACAGGTTGAAATCAATTTAATCAATTTTCTAGCAAATTTTTTTCAATATACAGCTGAAGCTGTAGACACGTGATAAAAAAATCTTATTACAAATACATCCACCAAAGCTCTACTTTACCATTCTATAATGCAAACACAGTCCCACATCTACAAGTTTACAAAACAATGAAGACAAGTAAAAATGTATTCCTTGCCCTCTTATTCCTTCTCCTTCCCTTTTGCACTAAACTGAAATATGCCACTGCCAGTGGTGTGCATGACACCGATGGTAGCATGCTAGAAAATGGAGGTGACTACTACATCTTGAAGGGGGAGGGTGGTGATGGAGTTACACTTGCTAGCATTGGGGTGACACATCCACTTGCAATTGTTCAATCTTCCTCCGAAAATTCTCTTGGCTTGCCAGTGTCAATTTCAGATATTAATGAAACAATGATTATCCTTACAGATGACATTGTAAGAATCAAGTTCTCTAATATTCCAGATTGTTATAATTCATCCACTTGGATGCTTGTCAAGGATGAATTAGCCAAAATTTGGTATGTGGGCATTGGCAGTGTTGTAGATTACCCAAGTCATCAAATTAAGATGGGATGGTTCCAAATTAAGGATTATGATTTTGGTTACAAGCTTGTTTTCTGTAGTGATACCAACAGCTCATCTTGTGAAGATGTTGGGATATACATTGATAGTGATAAAAATAGACGTTTAGCTCTGTATGGAGAAGCATTTGTAGTTCAGTTTAAGAATGCTGGTAAGTCTCATGTAGCATTTGTTTGAGTATGTTCTGTTATTAAATAGCTTAGATCAAGCGAGGGTTAAGGTTTGTCCGGGTCAAGGAATAAGTCTTAGGTTAGGTTCAATGCTTTGTAACTCAATTATTCAGTAAGGAATTTGAGCTTGGATAGTTATAATTAAATATGAAAGACTTGCACTTTATGAGTCGCATGAGTAAAATCTAGTGATGAAACCTATGATTAGATAATGTGGAGAGAGAAATGGAATTAGAAGCCATTTGCCAATTTGAGAATGATCTATTTTGTAGTTTCTTTCCATATTAGCAGTAATTACTACAAAGTGAAAAAGGAAATGCAAATTATTCACAGAGGACTAGTTTCTTTCTTATCAAGTAGTAAAGCATGATGGATTCATGATTTCTCTCTATACAGTAACATTAGACAATGATTCTGTTCATATAAAAAGAGGTATTTTTATACGAGTATATTATTCATATAACATTTTTATGATAGTATTGTTTTATCTCTCTCCATCATACTATCCATCTTATTGCACACTTTTCTCTTTCCTTTTTTTCCTATCTCTCTCTCTGCTTTTGTAAAAGGTATATATATGTTGTATAACTAACATATTTCATTTCATGTCTTGTTCCACATAGAATTACCCTTTCTGATTTTGTTTTGCCATCTTGCCTTCAATTGATTGCTTATAGTTCCTGGAGGAATCCTTTTATAGTGCCTCAACTATGATAGGATACTTGTTCTTTGGCATCCTTACAAGCGTTGGTTGGACAGAATTATCTTTCTCCAGAGATCTCCACCTGTGTCAACAATTTTAGATACAAGCAAAGGAATCTTTAGATTAAACAAGCAAAATGAGCACAGAAGAGAACATGGCTGAAATAAATAGAGGAAAAAAAGGAATAAATGCTGTTTTGGGAAATTCAGCAAAAAACACATTTGTTTTCTCTAATGTAATTATTTCTCCATTATTAGGAATCTTACTTGTATCTGTTGACAAGGTGATGGATAAAGACACAGATTTCAAGCTTGGCAAGGTTCATCCCAGGACACATACGTGGTCCACTACCAAATCCAAGAAAGCTGAAAGGCCTCAAGGGTTCCTGCGATTGGCTGAAAATATCAATGTTGGGCTCCATAGAAATAGAAATGATAATTAGGAGTCTCTAGTTGTTTGATAATAAAGAAGTTCCATATTGGTTAAAAATGAGGTAAGTAGTTGGAATATTAAAAAGGTGTATAAATCCAAATGCCTCAGCCATTTTAGATAAAGTAGTAACCTAATATAAGACTTGGATTATTTCATTCATAAAAAGTCAACACTAGTCACTTAGCAAGGAACTTACATCAAATCTAGAGGGATCAAACTTTTCAGGATCTGGGAAAACTTCTGCGTCATGGTGTATTGAAACAACATCAAGGTTGATAGACCATCCTTTCTTAATTTTACATCCTGCAAAATTTAACATCAACTTTATATCTCATGAAAAGCATAACCATAATTTCAACAAAACACACACCCAATACATATGCCTATTTGGTCATTTACTAATGCATACCATCAATTTCAAAATCCTGGGATGCCTTTCTTGAAAACCAAGGTAGTATCGTGGCTCTTCTAAGAGTTTCACTGATCACCTGAAATTCAAATAACAAATAATCTAGGTGAGCTTTGAAATCTTGAAGTTACTTACAATCTAAAATGTTGATCCTCACTTTGGCTGTGTAAGGCATGTTATTAACTTCAGACCATGTAAGATCTGTTCCACTCTTTCTATTTGCCACAATTTGTCCATGTTCCTCCTGCAAAGTATAGTGTTCATGAAGCTACACTTTAAAATCTTCAACCATGGAAAGGAGAAAGATTGTAGAGTCTTTAATATTTATAGCTTGTTTGTTCAAGCTTAAATTTAGAAAAATAATCAGTTTATTTTTCAAAAATTCTCTCAAGAAGCTAAGACAAATAAACAATTATTTCTTCAAAATAAGCTAAACCAAACATGCACTTACTCTGAGTTGCTGCAAAACAGTTGGATTTTCGTCAAGAAATTTGATAAGCCATGTAAGAGCAGCGGTTGTAGTATCATGGCCTGCAACCAGCAGAGTTAATATATTATCCTTCAGCTGTTTATCAGTGAGTTTATTTTCATCTTCTCCAACATCTGCTTTTCTGCTGTGTTTCATAACTAAGGATTCTAAGAAATCTTGTTGAAAGTCTTGGCCGCTTCGTCTCCGTGAAATTATAGAATCCAACATCTCATACATCCTATCTCGAGCCTGCACACATGCATATCATTGTATCAAAGGAGAGTTCAGTGATCATATTGAAGTAGGTGCACCTATTTAGAGGTCTGTGACTATTTATGTATTACTTTGTTACCTTGATACCGCGGTGAAAAGCTGTCCCTGGAAGTTTAAAAGGTAATGAGGCAAATGAAGAAGAAATGATCTTGAAATTTGACCTAAACTTTTCCTGCTCCTCCCCAGCAGGCTCTAAACTCATGATCATGTGTCCAATCACTTTTAGAGTAAACTGTAATATTCAAAACCATGACTTAGTACATTTTAAGAAATACTTATTTCTTTCAGCTTCCTAAGAAAGATTTTAAAAAGTAAGTGATCAATTTTCTATGATTAAGCTAATCTGAGCATGCTATAGGTATGGAATAAAATGGGTAACAAAATATTAAATTTGCTATGTTTGATAACTTAGTGGCACTCAACTGTAGAAGCCTCTTCAAGGACCAGAACTTTCCTTCCTTGCCAATGATCTAATGTTTCCATTGCTTGAGTGTTGATAAAATGGAAATATTTTTTAAGGCCATCAATTGACAATGGTTCAGCAATCAACCTTCTAATCCTTTTGTGTGCTTCTCCAGTGGTTTGCAGCAAGCTGGTGGGGCCTAGAACTTGCTGTCCTGTATAAAACAGATTCAAGCTCACAATTCCATCCTTCCCAGTTAACAATATCTTACTTGCTTCTTTCCCAGTCATGAAGACTGTGAACCTCCCTAGGACAAAGCTCTTGAAAACCTTTCCATATCTACATGAAAATAGGGATTAAAGAAAGTGCTAGGAATTCTTTAGTACCCAATATGTAATTACACGAAATGTTCTAAGTTGATGTTGATTTTTACCTCTTTTGCCTCTTGTTCATGAAACTAAAGATTCCAGATGGGCTTGAAAAGTCAGAGAGGAATGAGAAACTCTCACCAACAATAGGCCAGCCAAGGCTTCCAGGGATGCCTTCCATTACTTTAGGAGAACGAGTAAGATACAGCAACATTAGAACTGAGAGCACTAAGAAGAAAAGGATCAATGAGAGCAGCAAATTGATTAGCTCCATTCTTAACAATTGCCACTAGCAAATCGCACTAGTAGTTGATCAAAGAAATGCTTCCTATTTCTAGATAAAATGCAATAATTAGTTGTATTGTATATCTATCTTCAGCAACTTGATCTTAGGACATTTGTTATAAATTTTAAGACTTGACTCAAAACAAGATGTTTATATTTATAATCAGTTACTCTGCAGGCCGATTGTACTTTGGAAAGTTAAGATAACACCATCTATTGTAATCATTTTGAGTAGGTAAAACCAAAGCTTTTCTTAGGTAGAATCTCAGGAGATTCCTTGTTCTTGTTGGTGTCTGAGGTTGATTGCTAAGCTAACACAAGTCTAGTTATTTAGACATGAAAATTGCTCATCACCACCCTTTTCTACTGTTCACACAACTCTTTTATTGCAATTATCAAAATTCTTTCGAAAATTAAATTTTGAAAGTGATTTGTAAATTACTTCTAAAATTTTATTTCTCAAAAATATAAAATCACTTCTGAAATTTAATTTATGAAAATAATCTGTAAATGAATTTCAGAATTTAATTTTTAGATTTTTTTAAAAAAAGCATTTGTAAAAATAACTTCCAAAATTTAATTTTCAGAATTAAACACATTCCCAAAAACTAAATTATAAAAGTGACAATGCAAATAGAAAAAAGGATGGAGCAAAAACTATCCCCTTGAGACATTTGGTATTTTGAAACCCAAAAGTTGAATATGCCGTCCTCGGGCTAGCCATTGTCCTGTTTTAAATGTTTAGCTATCTGTTTTTTTGTATTATAGTAAGGAAGACCTTGTACTTCTCTGCTTAGAATTTTAGGATTGGTTGGTCAAAGTGTTTTAGTCATTTTTCTATGAACTCTCTCAAGCAATGCAAATACTCTTTGATGCATTCTGTTTGATAAAATCTGTATTATTGAGATAATTTTATATGATTCTCACTTTATTTCTATGAGACCCTCGTAAATTTATTCAATAGTAAAATGGGTTAAAAAGTATGTCTAAGAACATGTTTTTAATATTTCTCTATTCTCTACTACCCATATGTATCCTCTCAAAACTGTTCCAATCAATTAAAGTCAAGTAGTGTGAATATTAAGACAGGAGACTCTCTTTAGCACTTCTTTTCTTGTTCACAGGACTCAAATCCACTTAAGAACTCTTTCACTTTGCACTTCAATAATCATTTAAATAAATTTTAAAAAGATAGAGTCTAGTATTAAAAATAATTTTTTTCATAAATTAGAAATAACTAATTTCTTTCTATCTTTTGAGAAATTCTTTTATTTAAATTTTTCAAATTTTAAAAATATAAGTTGTTTCTAATTTATAATAAAATATTATTTATTTTTTATATTAAATTTTTTCTTCTAAAGGGACTTCTCAAAAAAGTTTATCCAAATTGTACCATAAACAAATAAAAAAAAGTTAATGTATTTTATTAAATAATGATTCAAAACTCAAAATTATATTCAATTTGAATTGATTTAAATTGAATTGAATCAAATAAATTTAAAACTATTTCAAATAAATCCTTAATTCTAGAGTGCCGGCCTCCAAATTCTCATAAAACAGCAGTTTAGGACAAAACAAATTAAGTAACACAGATCCATTCCTTGATGATGAGGATCAAGAAAATTTGAATCCCCTTGCGTTCTTCAATTGTCTTGTTCTTATTATTATTTTTTTTACCAATTAAATATTGGGGTTTGATATTCACTAAAACTTTACCCTAAATTACTAGAAGTTACTATATGCTTAGCTGAAAGATTTTGTACAAGATCAAGATGTCTCGTCTTGTATTGTATAATTGGGGGGTGATCTTTACGAGAAGCACAACATAATGAATACTCCAAGGATACAGCTTAATGCTTCCACTAAGCTATGAACTTCACTTTCATGTTTGGCTTAAACCAAAGTCAAGAGATGGACTAATTGGTAGGATGTAACATTTCGGATTCCATTTTTACAGACTTTTCAAATGCTTTATTCTTGATTTTCATGAAGTTACATTTTTCTTCCCATAAAATCACGTCTCTTTCATATATTATGATGTGTGGTGAACTTTTTACACTAAATTATATCAAATCAAAATAATATTTATGTATTTTAAACTATTTATTCAAATAAAATATTATTTTTTTACTTTTTATAATTTATAATTTCATTAATTAATACTTGAATTCCTTCGATCAACATTCAATGTAATATAATATATATATATATATATATATATATATATATAAATTTTCTTAAATTATATTTTGAAATTAAAAAAAAATTAAAACCTCTATATATTAATATTTAGGGTAAATTTTATAACTGTTAAAATTCATTTGGGTACACGAGAGAGATTAGAGAGAGAGATAAATATATGATAAAATAACATTATATCATTTTATCAAACATTTGAAATAAGAAAACTAATAAAATAAGATATAAATTATATTTTAAAAATAAAATTACTCTTTTATACAAATTAATACAATTTTCAAAAAAAAATTATTTTTTACTTTTCAATAAAAATACACATTAAAAATTATTATAATTTTAAAAATTTGTATACAAATAATATTAAAATTTTCATATTAAATTATAATAATTTTCTTATAATTTTTTTTAATTCTTTACAATTAAAATTTATTTTTAGTAAAAAAGTAATAATTAAAACAAAAATAAATTTTTAAAAGATAAATTGTATTTTATAAAATGAGTAAATTACTTTTTATATAAATATATTTTGTAAATTTAAAAAAAAAAATTTGTTAAAACTAATGTCCATGAAATATTTTATAAAAAGGTATTAAAATTATATTTTCTTAAAATTTTTATATTTTTATACAATGTTAAAAAGGGTATGGAATATGAGTAAGAAAAAAAGATAAAAGCCATCATATCCCAATGATTCCTAATTCATCACATCCATTAAGAAAAGAATTTGGGTGTCAAAATATAAGAAAAAACTTGATAAGTTTTCATATTATATAGTTTAACAAACACTAAAAATCAAATCGAATGTGAAGTTATTCTTTCCTATTCACTTAACCACCAAATGAACTCTTGAAGTTTAACAAAATTTCTTTTAATTCTCTTTACATTTTTTTTAACTCCTTTTAATTTATATAATTGCATAAAAGATCATAAATGATTTCTATAATCAAGGACAAACAATATTACGTTATTAAATTAATTAATAAAAATTTGCATATAACATGAAAAGAAAGAATATCAAATAAAATTTATTAGACTGCTAAAGTATGTGAGTTTAATTTATCCTTATATTTATTATCAATGAAATAATTATTTATTAATTAAATTAATTTTCATAACATTTTAGTTTAAAGTTCTACATTTATTATCATGTTTTACAAAATACTTACTATTTTTTTAAGCCTTTAAGCATACTTCTATCTTATAGTAAAGTAACCTCTCTTCCTAAACTTTTGATGTGTCAAAATCACTTCTTTCCAATTTTTTTTATTGGAATATTGCTATTAAAACCCAAGACCATTAATTTGAAAAGTTCTTTCATTCTAACATTCTGTGTGTTTGCCAGCGCGTTGAAAATATTAAGAACTGAATTTCATTTCAAGACGAGACGAGTACTAGAAATATATTATTTAACACGGAGGAAATTTATTAAATTAAGAATAAAAAGAGTAAGAGGTTTTTAATAAATTTTAATCAATAATTAAAAATATGTTGAAAGAGTGTATTATTAATATATTTACAAAATAAATATCACTGATGTAGGTCCCACTAACCGACATTTCGGTTCAGTGTACTTGTCAGTTGTCATTTGAAAGAGCACCATTCAATTCACAAAACTAATTTCTATTTTTAAGTGTTTCAAAAAATAATTAAATCAATTCATGCATTCAATAATTCTAAATTCTCCTACTTGCTAAATGGGAAAAAAAAATAAAAATTAAATACATTTTATAATTTTAAGACATTAAATGCATTCATATTTTTATTTAATAATTAAACAAGTGTTAGGAGGATTAGTAGGAACAAATAGTAGGAAGATATAGAATCACTTTAATGCATTTAATATTTTCAATAAAAAATCTTTAAAATCAATGGTAAAATTCTCATCATGCAAGATGGATTAAAAACGAAAAGTTGTGAACTCATAATCTTAGAACCTAAGGCATGAGGAGAAACTGCTTTCAGCTTGAACTTTCTAACATATATTACATGCTATTTAATTCCAGAAGATAATCAATATACTTCATTCACCATCTATAATCAACTAGTCTTTCTACGTCTATATGTTAAATTCATGCACCCCAAGAACTATATAACACATACATTTCAAAGGCTGTGCTAACCTAGAATTGCAGCAAGTAAATATAATAGGGCACGGTTCTATCCTAGAACTAGAGAAGATAAACAACATAGAACTAAGGGGACTGAACTGCACAATGATACCCTTCACAAGTCTCACCTGTTATACATATATGTATAAGTACAAGATGTTACTTGTGATGAATATTGCATGTAACCAATCATTCATGCTGCTATTATCAGCTACTTCTGCTGATTGAAGTCTATGAAGTTCGAGCGGTTCGGCCCGTTGAAAGGTTGATCTGAGGGAGGGGGAGGCATGCCAACCTGTGGCTGCTGTTGTGCCTGCTGAGGAGGAGAATTGTTCAACTGTTGCATGGCTAACTGAGAAGCCAACTGGTTGAATAGCCCACCAAAAGAAGGGTTACTAGCAATAGCACCCAAACGGCTACTTTGTGCCCTGAGGCGCTGCAGTTCTTCCTTCAATGCCTCATTTAGATCTGCAATCACAAAGTGTAGCCATGTTGATGTATGTTCATGAGCTAAATTTAAAATAAGCAACTGAAAAATATGCAACTTGGTAAATTTCAAACAGAAGTTTTTGAAAAAAAAAATGCAATTCTTTCATCCATAATTTAGGAAAGGGGTAAAATTGACACATAAAGATTCATTTGATAATGATTGATCCCTTTTTGTTTTTCTAATTAAATAAATATGAAATGATGCATAGTTGCATACCTTCTCTAAGCTGTGCTTCTTGCTCCAAAGCCTCTAGCCGCATTTTTAGCTCCTTATTCTCCGCAGTCAAATCCGTAGTGTCTCTCTGCATCATATCAGATATTGGTAAGCTATTGTCTTTTTCCTTCTTTCACTCATTGTGCAACCATATGAAACTGAATTTAACTAAAATCTAAGAGAATAAGGCTACATAGTCGGAAAAGTTTGATTGAATACAACCAAAATCAGTTAAGCTTCGAGAGCTGTGTTAGATAAGATCAGGCGGTGTGGACCACTTGTTTATTCAAGAATCACATGCAAAAGCACAAATTTATGTTTTGAATCTGCAATATCTTACTGAATGAGTCTCGCTCATAAAACAGACCTGGATGGTGGTGACAGCCGATAAAGCCAAGGAAACCTTGCAATGTTGGAAACCTGGATAATTACCATTTCTATATTCTAGTCACTATTTTAGAACATTGTAAGTTACTTTCCTAGAGTGCTATGGTATTAATTTAGAACAGTAATTGTCTCATTATTTTTAGTGAAAATAAAAGTGAAAACAAAAGCATATCATTTCCGTAATGCATGTCAAACACTGTAGTACAAGTTGTTAGGAAAGACCTAAACTACTGTTCCATCAAACAACTACAACAATGATGCCGTATCCTGCTGAGGTTTAGCTAAACAGATCAGTTGATGATGCCATGGGGCAGTACCAAAAACCAAATTTTCAAAACAAGCTAGCATAATCACAATTGCAAAATTGAACCAAAGAAAAGCAGATTGGACTAAGTTTTCCAACTGCCTAAGAAAACACTCGTCTTTTATGTCCTGGCTAAAGTTTGGTGAAAAAGAACAAAATTGACAGAGCTCAAAACCAATTTACTTGTTCAGAACAAAATCACTTTGGTCATGTAGAAAGAAGAGAAGATATTTAATGACAGCAGTGGACGATAAAACTTAAGATATAGATGCAGCAAGGGATATTGATTCTATAATGGTGCATAACCCACCCCCATCCTTACCAATTGCACTAAAAGCGCAAGTGGATTTTTACACATGTTTAGTGGAGAAAGATGTCATCAAATCTAAAATTATATTTTTCCCATATAATATCTGATAAAAGCCAACGACAGTATTATATTCTCCAAGATTTTGATACATGATATATTCTCCTAACTGCCGTGCATGTTTGATGACCAAATTCTAATTTACTTTCAGCTTACCATTTTTCTTATGGAATCAGTTGTACAAACATGTCCAGACTACAGACAAAGAAAAAGGGTTAAAAGGCTTCAAAATATACCCGGTATCACATGACTAGTCTAAAACTTTGAATATCTTTCACATATAATTTTACAACCCACAGCATTGAATTACCAGTTATGAGCTATGACTTCTCTTACGACTGGAAATATGCATCAAAAGCCACTTCATGCTTATCGCAATCAAACTGAAATCTATAATTTGTTTAAGATATACCAGCCACAGGTTTAATTGTATGTACAAGTGTCATAACATTTAATCAGGGGAAAATTTAGATAAAGGCAAGGTCCATCTGATTAAACACTAATTTTTTTGCCTAAATAAAGGTTAAAAGAAACAACTGGTCTGAAATGGCACTTAGTTATAGTTAGATAAGATTTTGAGTCAGTGGTTTGATTGAAAAAATTTACTTGTGGTAAAAAGTTATTAAAAGCGTCTTAACCAATGATGAAACAAACTTTCCACTTCTTTTACTTAACAAAAAATGTTTACAAATCACAAAGTTCATATTTAAAGAAAGGGCCCTTGATAATGTGTGGGATCCATAAACTGTTGTGAGCCTGTGACCACACAACTCACAACCAGCTTAAAGTAATTCTACATCATTGTTAAAGATGCAGAGGGGGCCTTCATCAAAAACCGACAGGAACAAGTTACCAAATTCTAAAATTGGAATTTACAAAAGGAAAACGAAAACGAAAGGTCATACCTGAAGCATGGTAAGCTGTGCAGAGAGGTTAGTTGCTTCGGTCTGAAGCGTCTGCACCTTCCTCTCCAACTCACTTGTGTATCGAATCTTCCTCTCCTTCGATCGAGCAGCAGATTGCCTATTAGCAAGAATCCTGCCAACACATTCGCACAACATTCCAAATCCACACCAACATCAGTACATCAAACCAAAATTTCTCTCCCACTTTTCCCACAATCCAAACACCACTTAAAAGCATCCTATAATTCTTCACCACACTATTTGCAGCAGAAACAACTTATTTCAAATCAACCACCATAAAATTAAAAACATACATCAAAACTAAATCAAATTTATGACAAGATCAGTGCATCACATAACATTCCAAACCAACGCCGGTGCATCAAACCAATATATCTTTTCCCAGTTCTCCCACAATCCAACACCCCTTTACATATTTTTACTACAACACTTGACAAGCTTCATATAATTATGAACCACATTGTTTTCAGCAGGAAACCTTTTAAAAGTTTAAAACTATCCATTACAAAATAAAAGGCATACATAAAAATTGAATCAAGTTATTGACAAGATTAAGGTCACAAACACCAAAACATCTTAAATTGCACTAAAATTTATTACTATCAATTTTTCCATTGAGAAAAATAAAAAGAAAAAGAACCTCTTTGCTCTCTTGGGATCAATAAGAGCAAGCTCAGCGAGTTTATCAGGAGCCATGGCTTTCTTCACACCGTCTATCATCACCATCGACGAGTCAGCCTCGAACGACGTCGTCGAGGACCCGTCCATTGAATTACTGTGCCGGTGATGCCCCACCCTTCGCTCGCCGGCACTCTTTCCGGCGACTTTCTCCTCACCGCTGGCGGAGAATCCGAGGCCGTCAAAGAAGTCAGAATCCACGGACAAGCTCCGGAGGTGGCCGCCGGCAGAGTTACCGGCAGGCCTGGGCCGCCCGCCGGACTCATCAGAATCGACGGCCATCGGAACGACGCCGGCAGCAGCCGGAGAAGGAAGGGGGAGTGGCGAAGGAAGGTTGGAGATGTCAAGGTCGGAAGGGTCGAAGAGGAGAAGGTCGTCGAAGTTGGCGGCGAAACGGAAAGAGGTGTCGGAGTGAGAACGCCGGTGGTGGGACCCACGCTCCGGCATGCGCTCTATGTCCACCGTCGCCGGCGGTTTTCCGATGAACTTGGGGTCCATCGAAAAAAAAAAAAACAAATCTTGTTTTTCTTTTATTTTATTTTTATTTTGCGTTGGTGGTGGTGGTGGTGGTGTTGTGAGAGAAGAGAGGGTGGTTGTTGAGGTTGTTGTGGTGCGTTTTTGTGAGTTTAGTAGGGAGAAACAATTGGAAGAGACAAGCAATTTGACTTTATTTACCAAAAGTTGAGGGAAGTGTCTTTGGCGAGTGGTCTTTAAGAGTATCATTAGTGTTTAGATTAGATGTTTGACGGCAACGCCCAATCCCATTTTTATGTTTGGCTTCGCCTTTCACCCAACCATTGCTCTTCTTTCAGACACCCAAACATGGTTTTGTCCATAATCATCATTTTTTCTTCAATTTTCTTTTCTTTTTTTTTATGCTCATTAAGGATTTTATATTAAATTTTAAATTTAAATTCTTTTTAATTATTATATTTTTATAATTTTTTTACTCATTAATTTTGAAAGAAATATATTATTCTTACAATAAATGTCTTTCTATTTTTCCACTAATAATACAATTTTTAATTATTAGTTAAAATTATTTAAAATAAAAAATTACATAAATCACTACTTAATTTAACATTTTTACATCTAATTTAATTATTTTGTTTCAGTTTCATACTTTTCTAATTTTTAATAAATAATAACCAATAATTAAAAGTATATTAAAAAAAGAAAATTTTAGTCAATAATTTTCTTTAATTTTAAATTTATTTATTTAAATAAATAAATAAACTTAGTCAAACATTTAATGAATTAAACTCAAATAATTTACAAATAATTCAGCTTATTTACACTCGTATTTCTAATACTTCTCTTTCTCAATTATATAATTTATTTAATTCCTTCCTTCTCTTCTTCTTTTATTTCTATATAACAAAATTATAACTTTTTAATTGTAAAATAATCTTTATTTCTTTTTAAAATTCAATATTTTAAGTCTTAAATAATTTTTAATAATGATGTGATTAATTAAGAAGTTATAATATGTTAATTTTTTTTAAAATCATATTAACAAAAGAGATTAAAAGTGTTTACTCACAAAATTAGAAATAATGAATAAAACTAAAAAGTTAAAGGAATTAATATATATATATGGAATAAAAATATATTTAAATATAAATTTTGTTATAAATAGAAATAATAATAGGTAAAAATTAGGTAAGATATTATAATTTAAATAAATATAAATTTTATATAATTAATTTATAAATTTGTAAGTCTAGTGTTTACATCTTTTAACATGAAAAAAAATTATATATTAATAAGAATCGATTATATTAATGATATTTTGAGTCAAAATAATACAAATGACTTTTAACTGTTATAATTAATTTTTTTGTAATATTATATGAAATAACATAATTAATTATACATAGTAACGTGTGATATTAATGCTTTGTATTTTAAATTTATTATATTACATAGCATGTGAATATGAATACAGGTTGTATGGTATAATATTTATACCAATCCTCATCCTTGTAAAATTGAGGAGAAATACACATATATTCCTAAACTCATTTTGCAATACTCAATAAGTCTGAATTCAATTGACATCATTAATTACAAACTTATTTTTAATTTAAAAATTTCATATATAAATTTTTTTAGCCAAAATTAATTTTATAAAATTAAGAAAATCTAAAATCATGCTTATAAACATTCACCTAAATATGTTTTTTTTTTTTTTTTTGTGTAACTTCTCTTTTCATCAATTTTTTTTTTGTGATGTTTAATTTTTGGACTGTTAGTTATTTTACATATTTAGCCTATTTTTACCCAAATTTTGTAACTACGATGAATTTCGAATCAATTATAGGATTAAAAATTATTAAAAATAAAGTTTGATAAGAAACACAAGTTGAGTTTTTGCATGCATGGTTGTTTAATCATCATAACACTTATAAATTCTATGGTTATTTAAGAAAAAAAAGTTAATGTTACGATTGAATACTTTTAATATATTCATAATGTGTTTAGCTTTTATTTGAACATGTTGAGTTCTTTTAGTTTAAAAAATGTGCCTTTTTAATACATTTTCCTCCACTTTAATTTTATTTATATTTAGTTAATTATATAGTAATAGTTAGGTTTTTGGGTCTCATGATCTCTCATATAAAACTTTTAGCAAAAATTTAATATTGTATGTAAAATTTTATGTAATTATTTTTTAATATATTAAAAATACTCTCTTAAATAAAATAAAAATGTTAGAACACTGGAAATAAAAACTAAAAATATTTTATTGAACAACATAAAAACATACTTATTATATTTTTAATATATTTTTTAATAACAACTTACTATTAATCGTTTATTTAACCAGTGTCTTTAGAATATTAGTTCCTAAAATTATTAATAAAGACACTAAAAGATGTTTTATCATTTATTGATTTATATTATAAGTATGTTTTATTAAAGATAATCTTATTTGAAATAAATAGAATTATCATAAATGACAAAAAAATTTCTTTAAATATTTAACGTAGTTACATTCGTTAGTACTTAAACTTGAAATTACAAATTAAAATTAAAATTAAAATACCCCTTGTAAATAAAAATGTTTTATTTGAATGTAAAAACAAAAACAAAAAATTACTAAACTTTTTATACCTTAAATGCATATTTTAGATCTGTGAAGGTATCATTGCCTTGGAGAAGAGGTACTATATTCAAGTTTGAGTGTGAAGTTGAGCTTCTAAACCACCTAAGTCGCAGTGTTAAGATCTAAAGCTGTAACGTTACAGAGGATTCAGCCCATTCCATTTTTCTTTACTTTATCAAATTAATTTTAGTGTGATTTTAAGGAATTTTCCCTTTTGACTGTATGTTTTAGAGGAGACTCTGAACTTCTTCTGAGGGGCTTTAAAAGGTGAGACAGAAGAGTTCAACAATCATCATTCTATTTTATTCTTCCCCTTTTGTCCTGTTTTCTTCTAGATGATTTTGTTTGTTTGTCCAATTTGTTTCATTTTTTAATAGTTTGTTTCTCAATAAGTATCAAGGCTTAACTTATCACTTTTATTACTTTGACCACTCAAACTTTTTTTTATTCTCAACATATACTTTATTTCAAGATTATTTGTAGAAAAATATATTGTGTTGAATAAATGAGAGAGCTATTTTTTATTCAAAAGATGGACAAGTCTTAAGTATTCAATCTTATATGAACATATAAGAACAAAACATAAAAGTCATATAATTTTTTAAAATAAACAATTAAACATATGATTTTTAAGTAATTATCCAAATTACTTAAAAATAATTACAATAAAAGGTTAAACATGAAAACTAAACCCTGATTGAAGCTCCACACAGTACAAGTTTATATCACCACAAATTAAAAGGTGATGGATGATGAACCAATTGAGATAACTTGACAGTGATTTAGTTGCACACTAATGTTATGTGCCCCATCAACATTAACCCAAACTCGATTCCTTCACAATGATCAAGTTAGACACTAATGTTATGTTCATTCTTACCATCAACTCACTCATCCTAAAATCGTAAATGAATAATCATATCATCAACTAATAACTCATATTGGGACCCAGCCATCAATCAAAAGTGCTTTTCCTATTTAGCTTTCTGAAGAAGTAGCATTTGAATAGGTGTTGCTAAGAGAGAAAAATACAGATTGCTATAAGGGAAAAACACAGAGATAAAGAAAGACAAACAAAAGGAGATGAATGAGAAGCTTGATAGGGATGGTTCATGTGATTAGGAATGAACGTGAAGAGAAGTTCAAGAAATTGAACTTACGCTTGTGTAGTTTGAGATAAGAATATTTATTTTTGTTATCTATTTCATCTTTTTATTATAGAACTATCATTTATTTTTTTATTTTTTTATTTTTATTTTTTGAAGATATGTGTATAAAATCATGAAAATCTATATATATATATATATATATATATATATATATATATATATATAAACTTCAGTGTTATGTAGCTTAAAAAATACTTCAAAATTATTATTATTTTTAATTACAAAATATCACCTTAATTTTTTTTGTTTGTATTTTCAAAAGTTTGTTTAGAAATTATTTTTTTTACTATTTTTTACACAAATATTTAAAATCAGTAAACAAATAACTTTTTAGGAGGATAAATATTAAAAAAATGTGTTTGCATTGATTCAAATGAAATTAAATTGCTTTTAAAGTTTATTTTAAGATATTTGAAATTTTTTTATTTATAAGAATAAATAAATAAATTTTATTTTTAGTATCACTTTTAGATTTATGTTATTGTCGAGACAATTACCACCTTATAACCATTATAATCACTGTTATTATATTAGTTATAGACATTATCACGATTAATTATTATTATTATTATTATTTCACTTTCATCGTCCTGCACTATTACTATGCTTGCACTTCTATTATTATAATAGTTTCTATCATTGTTATTCTTAGAAAAAGTACTTGAATAGAATTGAACTCTGAACTCAATTTTAGAAACTCAAAATAACTTTAAGCTAAGTTGACTCATATAAACATTACTTTCATCAACATGAATTAAATAGTTTAAATTAACAATTATTTCCTTACATTTCACCTCTTGTCATCACATTTGTTACTAAATTAATTTTAGTTTCAAAATTGTTAAATTCAAAATTAACAATCAAACAAACAAATGTAAGAGATATCATTCTAGTTAAAAATAAAAATAAAAATAAAAAATGTTAAAATAAAGAGTTGAGAAAATCTGAATCTTTATTGGTTTTCTGAATGTCTACAAAAGACTGGGGTCCATTGGGTGATTGTCATCAAGTGATTTTCTTTGAAATAAAATCAACTGGCATATGTTATTAAGTGTTCTTAATATTCCAAATAAAACATTTGACAGTGTTAGTAAGTGCATAGCTTGTCTAAGTGATTGATGATCAAGCCACCAACAAGGTCCTTTCGTTGTATAGGGTTTACAGCTACGAGAAAATCCTTTGTCAGATTGGAAGTAACGTTTGAAGAAATGTTGCTATGTGAGAAAATATGCAGATAGAGACAAAAGGACAGAGAGAAAAGAAGGGCAGTGCAGATGCTTCCTCTGTTTAGTAACCCAAGAAATCTTTAATCAATTTGCTCCTTCTCATCCAAACGCTTTCTTTTCTTTGCTAATAATAAAAAAAATTGTTCTATTACTCTTAAATTTAAAAGAATATTTTATTTTATAATTAATTTAATATAACAGATATTAATTATCAATATCTGTTATATATTTAATATAAAATT